TTGATTGATTGATTGATTGACTGGATTTCTATCCTGTCCATCTAGACCAAAGGTGTGAATCATGCAGCCCATGGGTGAGAACACATCTCCCAGAGGCCCAAATGAGGCCACCCAACCTTCCCCCAAGTATCCAACATTTTATTTCTTTTTCAATCTGACTCTAAATGTCTCCTTATGGGGGCAAAGAGAAATGTTGCTGTTTTTGGGGGGGGTGTCCCTGGGACTAGTGGGACTCCCACATACCCCGAGAAGTCATTCATTCATAAATAAATGGCCACCAGAGGGCGCAAGAAAGCATTTCCTTTTTTAAAGAAAAACAAATGCATTTTTGTAGGAAAATATTTTACGGCAGAAAAGGTCACAGGAGCAGCTTCCAGAGGTTCCTGATGGGAGTGTGTGACCCCCTCCTCCCCGGATCTCTGGAGATGGCCTGCCCTGGGCCTAGAAGATGCTTCTGCTTGGTCGAAGAGCCACGGCTTCACCTGCTGATGGTCCTTGCTTTCCATCTCTGGGACCTTAAGATGAAGCTGGACCTCAGCCAGCCTCTGCCTGGAGCTTCACAGAGCCATGCCAGTAAGCATGAGCAATATCTAAGACAGAGGGGGCAACAGCCTGAGACTCTGTGATAAAGCTGCTTTCCTCTCTTCCCAGAAGCCTGTCTTTCAATTTCTCTCTGGAACATCCAGGTAGGCAAGTCCTAAGCTCTGGAAGATTTGCCAGGATGAAGAAGCATGAAAGAAACAGATGTTCCCCTGCCTTTCTCCAGAGAAGGACGTCCAGGCAAGCTCCAGTGAAACTCCCTGGATCAACCTCAAAAAGCCTCCAGGATGCTTAGGGCTCAGCTCCGGATCACAGCCACGTGAACAGCGCCCTACTGAGCGAACTGAGAGTTTCTTGCAGATTTCCAGAAAGCCCAGGCAGACGGCCAGGGGAAGAGAGGACTTCTGAAGGACTGCCAAACGCTGGAACAGAGAAGCCACCAGGCAAAAGCCAGGCAGGAAGAAAATGCCAAACGCTGGAACAGAGAAGCCACCAGACAAAAGGCAGGCAGGAAGAAAGGAAGGAAGAGGGCATAGAGGACAACCCAGAGAGCCGGTTGTCCTGCTTCTTTCTGGCTTTCTGGCTCGTGGCAGGCCATGTGAGAAACACCCACCACAGGGGGTTTGGGAGCCACGGTGCAACGACGAGGCCGGAAGTATTTGCTTGGATGAACTAGCCAAGACTTCAGCTGCTCACGGAGAGAAAAGGTGGGGCTGCGGTGGAAGGCCAGGGCAATGCGGTCTAAAAAGCACAAGCGAAACTTAACCAAAGAGGAAAGGAAGGGGAAACCAAAAGGGTGGAAAGAGAACTGGAGGGAGAGAACAACAAGTTTGGACACAACCGCTTTGGTGCTCAGCAGCTCCAGCCGAGGACTGAAGAATTGATGCTTTTGAATTCTGGTGCTGGAGGAGGCTCTCGAGAGTCCCCTGGACTGCAAGGAGAACAAACCGATCCGTTTTGAAGGAAATCAACCCTGAGTGCTCCCTGGAAGGACAGATCCTGAAGCTGAGGCTCCAATACTTTGGCCATCTCATGAGAAGAGAAGACTCCCTGGAAAAAAGACCCTGAAGTTGGGAAAGTGTGAAGGCAAGAGGAGAAGGGGACGACAGAGGACGAGATGGCTGGACAGGGTCATCCAAGCTACCAACATGACTTTGACCCAACTCCGGGAGGCAGTGGAAGACAGGAGGGCCTGGTGTGCTCTGGTCCATGGGGTCACAAAGAGTCGGACACGACTTAACAACCAAACAACAACAAGCTCCAGTGCAAAAAAACCCCCTCAAAGATGAAAAAACCTATGGAGATGAATCATAGAATGATTGAGTTGGGAGGAACTTACAAGACCATCGAGTCCAACCCCCTGGTCAACGGCAGGATTCCAACTCAAAGGAGCTCTGAGAGACGGTGGTCCCATTTTCCCTTGAAAGCCTCCAGCCTTGGAGCGCTCACCACCTCCCCCTGAGGTCACGGGTTCCATTGTTGTACTGCTCTAACAGTTAAGAAGTTTTTTTTTAAAAAAAACCCTCATACAATTTAGAGAACTAGGAACAAGGAATGCTTTAATTTGATATCCTGAAAATAAGCTGCTGACCGTACCAGACTAGATCGGGCCAAAATATGACTTGGGAGAAAGCAACTTAGCCTGTAAGTGAAACCAGACTGACATACGAGATGCCAGATATTGAAAGACTGTACCTCCCCACCTCCTCCCCCCCAAGATCTACACAGTCCCAGAAAACCCAAAGGATATGCAGAATTTAGAGAGGCACTTGGGGACAAAAAAAGGGACCATAATCACTGCTTTTGCTCTAAATATTTTCAAACATTTGCAGTCATTTCTGCTGCTCTTCCTGTGTGTTTAGTCGTTTAGTCGTGTCCGACTCTTCGTGACCCCATGCTCTTCCTACTACTTTCTTAAGGGCTGGAATGGGAGAAAAATGGAAGCAGAGTACAAAGATGAACAACCACATTCTTCCCTTAGAACCTCCCACCTATTTCAAAAATAGCAGCAATCCTTCAGCCTCGACACAATGTTTTTTGGAGGCTTCGAAAGGATTTACAGATACTTTCTGGTAATCCCAAAGACAAAGGCGCGTTAAGGAGCTCAGGGTTATCATCCCCACCCAGTGCACAGAGCAGGGCGTTTCGTTTCCGCTAGGCTCCGCTTCCTGTTCCAAAGCTGTTCTTTGTCCTCAAAGAGGACTGGAATCCTGACGATTTTTTTTTAAAAAAGGAAAGAACACTGCCCTCCACGTCAGATGCCAAGTCCTGCGTTTTAGCGTCCATGGGGATCGTGACGGGCATCGGTGCTGCAGGCACAGCTTGGAAAAGTTACCTTTCTGGACTACAAAATCCAAAGTCCCCCACCACCATGGCCATGTACAATGGCCGCTGGCCACACTGCCATTTGCTAGGGAGTGGGGGCCACTGGAAGTCTCCCACTTTGAGAAGGCCACTCGCTGAAGGCAGCCATCAGCCACTGATGAAAACAACAGGAAGGGACGGCAGAAACCGGCCGAGGCCGCTAAGGATCGCTTACCGAAGAGATCATCCTTGGCCAGCGCATAGAGGATCCGAGAGGCACCAATGAGGTTGCTCATGGCTGCCGAGAGAGTAGAGCAATAGACCCCAATGATGACAAAAGGGGGCCAGACGTTGATGTCCCTCAAGAAGCTGTAGTCTCTCTGGAGGAGAAGCCTAAAAAGAAGAGGAAAAAACAGCCAAACAGATCATCTGGGTCGGCCGTCAAATAAATAAATACATTTATTTCATAAACTTTCCACTGAAATTATATATATCTGGCTTACAAACTTTTAAAAAAAGAATCAAAACAGATAAATCGGCATTTCACTGAACATTGATAAAATCCTATCAACCCACCCAATTGTAAGGCCATTAACATCAAGCAAAATACATTTTATTGAACTTTTTGTTGGGCGTAAGAGTTTGAGAACGGGGACCCGTCTCTTCAGGAGCGCAGATGCCTCTGTAAAGAAGACAAGCAGGGTTACCCTTTTCCCCCTAGACATTTCCACCAAGAGGGGCAATGGAACGTATAAAAAAAAGAGAGGGGAAAAATACAGTAGAACTTTAAGGATTGGAAGGATTTTTTGGGAGAAGGGAGGGTGCAATGCAGTCATCTAAAGTGGAACCATTCTTTTTATTAAGAAATAGAGGAATTTCCCCTGGAGTTACGGAGTCCATCGGTTGCTGAAATAAAAAGAAAAGTCTTGTGGGACTTCGAAACCTAACAAAATACATGATGTCATGGACCAGCATGGAGCAAACTGCAGGTACGAGCAGACCATTCTCTCTCTCTCTCTCTCTGTCTCTCTCTCTCTCTCTCTGGGGCAGAATCCAACGTTTCTCACCCTGACCCACACACAGAAGATACACCCAGGAGTGCCAAAGTTTTTTATAGCCCCACATGCTGCCTCTCGTAAGTGTGGCTGAGAGGGACCTTTCTGGCTGGGGTGATGGACTATCTACCCAGCATGAAACCAATGTTCCTTCCCTGTCTCTGAATTCAAAGACTCTCTCATCTGTGTTTCTTTCCCTTTTTAATCTGTTGAAGTCTTTTGTGGAAAACAGTCATGTGTTGTTAGCTTGCTGTCTAATCTATTCACATTCCCTCTCTCTCTCTCTCTCTCTCTCTCTCTGGGGCAGAATCCAGTGTTTCTCACCCTGACCCACACACAGAAGGTACACCCAGGAGTGCCAAAGTTTTTTATAGCCCCACGTGCTGCCTCTCGTAAGTGTGGCTGGGAGGGACCTTTCTGGCTGGGGTGATGGGCCATCTACCCAGCATCAAACCAATGTTCCTTCCCTGCCTCTGAATTCAAAGACTCTCTCACCTGTGTTTCTTTCCCTTTTTAATCTGTTGAAGTCTTTTGTGGAAAACAGTCATGTGTTGTTAGCTTGCTGTCTAATCTATTCACATCTGTAAGCAAATGAAATGGGTTTTGAGATTTTTTTTCTGCTACTGACGTTTCAGAGCGAGTTGCTGAGACTGTAGCAAATGAAATGGGTTTTGAGATTTTTTTCTGCTACTGACGTTTCAGGGCGAGTTGCTGAGACTGTTACAGTAAGTGCCCGTGAATGAGGAAAGGGGTGGACTATTACTCTGTGGCACCTGAAATTGTTCTGTGCTCTGTGAATCCCTGAACTTTTGCTGCGCAGGTAAAGGAATTTAACCAAAAATTCTGCAACAAGGAGAACATAACATAAAGAAGTGAGCATGGAGGACGAGGAGGAGTCAAGGCAGGAAAACATAGCATGAAGAAGTGAGCATGGAGGATGGGGAGGAGTCAAGGCAGAAAAACACAGCATAAAGAAGTGAGCATGGAGGACAAGGAGGAGTCAAGGCAGATAAACATAGCATAAAGATGTGAGCATGGAGGACAAGGAGGAGTCAAGGCAGGAAAACATAGCATGAAGTGAGCACGGAGGATGAGGAGGAGTCAAGGCAGAAAAACATAGCATAAAGATGTGAGCATGGAGGACAAGGAGGAGTCAAGGCAGGAAAAAGGCCAACGGTGCTAATGCCAATGGCATAAGAAACGACCCCACAAACAGCACACACTCCACATGAGCACAGGAAAAGGGGGTGCCCTGCAGGCAGAGCAAGGAGGAGTCAAGGCAGGAAAAAGGCCATCAGTGCTAATGCCAATGGCATCAGAAATGACCCACAAACAGCACACACTCCACATGAGTACAGGAAAAGGGGGTGCCCTGCAGGCAGATGTGCCTCAAAAATGCTGCAACTAAATTGTGCTGTTGCTGCCTTTTACCGTGAGCATATTCCAAGCAGAGGTACACGCTGTTCTGCACAATGCTTCTGTTTCAAAGCTAGGCACGTTTTGGACTACACCTCCCAGAATCCCCCATCCAGCTTGGCTCAGGATTCTAGTCCATACCACCACTGGATAATACGGCCATGGGAAACCCCACCAGACAGAGGCTCGTGCTAAAGAAAGCACTCCGCCAATCTCTCCACACAGATTTCTCATTTATTCTTTTTTTAAAACCCTATTGTTTGCTGGCAGAGGTTGGCCCTGGCTTCTTTTTAACAGTGTTTCGTAACCAGAACATTTCTAGCTTATGGATTTTTCTGTCACACTTAAAGCTTCAAGTTTTTTTTAAAACTATAAACAATAAAAGCTAGCATAGCCCCTACTCAATACATTTTGGGCTCACTTGTGGTGGCATATCTCTGCCCAGGAATGACCTCTGACTACTCCCGAGAAGGATGAGATCTCTGGGTCTAACAGAGATTTTTGCCTCTTTCTCCAGCTTCCTAAGGCAAGAAGCCGTGAGAAAGCGAAGGCAACTATTTTTTTTCTCCAGGGTCCACCCCCTGCTTGAGCTTCTATGCTAAAGTTTCCATCATCATCTGCTTTCATCCTAGCGCATTTATCCTGTTCAGCATTTCCCATTTTTATGTCAAATGATGGTGCAACTGAGATGTAGGCATTGTGAGGAGGATGACCCCAAACAAGGAAAAGAGACTGTTGGTTGTTGTTGATTTTTCACCAGTCTCTGTGGCCGGCATCTTCAGAGGACAGGAATCAGAACTCTTTCTGTGTCTGGTGCAGTTTGTGGGATAGTTGAGTATTTATGGGGGGGTTCAGCTTTTGTCCTTTTCAGGAGATTGGGTGATTATGGTGATCAGGCTGTTTTTGTTGTGGGTGTATTGTTGTGATAAGAGGGAGAGATGATCTGTCACTGTGATTGATGGGTGTCGTTAGCTGGTCTTTTGTGTGCAGTGATCACTATTCCTTGTGTCTGGATAGGGTTAGTTGACCTTTTGCTGGCTGTATTTTTCAGTGCTGGCTTTGTTGGGAGAGAGAGACTGTGTTGGGTAGGGAGTAGGAACCATCACTTCAGTGCAGGATGATAGGCTTGGTAGTTCTCATGCTGCAAAGGTCTAGATCCGACCACGATCTTCTGCTCTTCCCGGTTCAACCATCACTGACCTTCTGGAATGGAGACAGGCAAAGGCCAGACCTCCTTTCAAAATGTTCTAACAATGACAAAAAATGTGGGGGGTGGGGTGGGGTGGGGAGACCAGGCATTCTAAGCAAAAAAATATCTCCCTTGCATCCTGACGTCCGTAAAATATTTTTAAAAAGTTAAATTGTTCTGAGGGACCCACAAAACACAGTGGAATCACACACACGCACCCCTAGCTGTTACAGGTCGTAAAAGAAGTTTTTGAGCTCAAAAACCTGGGGTCCCCAGGAGTGCTGAGGGCCACACGTCGGGGTCCCTAGCTGCCCCACATCCCCACTCGCTGGTCTAAACACCTGGCAGGTCTGTTAATACTCTCGGATCTAGGAAACCAGGACTAATCTATCCACAGACAAACAACGAAACTCTGACATGAGTTCCGGGGAACATTTCAAGCCCATAGACAGGAAGTGATTTTAACACCTGTTCCTATTCCTTGGGAAAGTTTGTGTCCCCTCCAATTTAAACCACTGGAACAGAGATTCCTCAGCTTCTTCCCCAAACTACAACTCCCAGAATCCCCGGCCTGGAAAGTAAACGACTACCATTTAACCATTTGTAACCGGCTGGAAATTTCATCAGGGAAACAGACATCGTTTCCCACGGTTGCATTCCCCCTCTTTCCCAAAAACCAGTGAAACATGAACAGCCCATGCCCTCATGCTTGAAGGGATGGGGGAAAGAGAGCGGAGAGCAGGCAAAGGGCCAAAAACCAGCAGGTCTAGCATCTGTAGGACCCCCACTTTTTTTCTTCATGTTGCACCTACAGACACTTTTGATGGCATTTTTTTCTCTGTACAGTACTGAGAAAAAAATATCTCTGGGGGCAAAAAATGCTAAAACTGAAGCTGTCCTACCTTCAACACAAGACAAGAAGGCAGGATTCTCCAGAAAAGACCATCATGTTGGGTAAGGCAGGATTCTCCAGAAAAGACCATCATATTGGGTAAAGTGGACGGCAGCAGGAAAAGAGGAAGACCCAATACGAGATGGACAGGCTCCCTAAGGGAAGCGACAGGCATGAGTTTGCAAGAACTGAGCAGAGCAGTTGAGGGGACATGAGATTTTGGAGGCCGCTCATTCATGGGATCGCCATAATTTGGAAGCGACATGATGGTACATAACAACAACCAAGAAAAACTACATCAACCACTTCCTGCTGGTAAATCTGCATTTTTCCCCCCAAGGGTGAAGAACTTCTTTCAGCCGGAGAAAAATAAAAAGCAAGGAAGGCATAAAATTGTGCCACCTTAAAAGACTTAACTGCTGAGCTTTTTAAAGTGAGCTTTCCTGGATTAAGTCCACTTCCCTAGTTGTCTGAGTTCTTCTGTTTTAACTTCGTAGGTCAGCACAGACTAACCCAACGACCTCTTCTGAAATTTCAGCCTCAGTTAAAGCAAAACTGTCGGGAAGGGCAAAGCGAAAGAGCTTAAAAATCCAAATCCTCAGGACGAAGGTGTTTCTACCTTACAAAATCGAAGAGGAGATGGCCTTTCTGGGGCTGCCCCCAAGCTGTGGAACTCCCTCCCACTAGAGACCAAGCTGATCCCCATCTTTGCTACCCTTCCACTTGGAAGCAAGGGACTTATTTTTCTAAGCAGGCTTTGTAACTAAACTGCTGCTCAGAAATGGTTTTAATAGGAAAGTGGGCTTTTTGAATATGTTTGGAACAGGTTTTATACAATACT